TGTGTGTGTGTGTGTGTGTGTGTGTGTGTGTGTGTGTGTGTGTGTGTGTGTATGTGTGTGTGGCCAAATGTGTGCAGTGAACATGTATGGAAGTCACAGGACAACTTACAGGAGTCAATTTTGTCCTTCTACCTTCTGAGTCCTGGAGATTGAACTCTGATCCTCAGGCAAGTGCCTTTACCTGTAATGAGTCATCCTTCAAATTTTCATGTATGGAATTTGTTGCTGGTATTGTAGACTAGGATTAATTTTTTGTATTATTAATATAAAGATATTTATTTCTGAAATTAAGTTGTGAAATTAATGAATTCAATTTCGGTATTACTTTTTCTAAATAAAATATTACATATACACTCTTTAAAATTTTGATTTATAAATACTATAGGAAAAAGATCAATTCAGGAGAAAGTGATTAGTCTACTTTAGGAATATATAAATAACAAAAAATTATCTGTTTTATATAGATTGTCTTTATTTTTTTCCCCAAGACAGGCTTTCTCTGTGTAACCTTGGATGTCCTGGACTCACTTTGTAGACCAGGCTGGCCTCAAACTCAGAGAGATTTGCCTGCCTCTGCCTCCCAGAGTACTGGGATCACTCGGCTCTAGACTGTCTTTTGAGATGAAGTTTTGTAATTAGTCCTAACTAAGGACCTGTTTACTTATTAATTAATCTAACAGAGTTTTTTGCTGTAGGCTAGGCATATCTTTGTACCTGGTTCTCCTGCCCTTCTATACAAGAACTGGGATTATAGGTCTTAGGCACTAGGCCTTGCTGGAATCACTAACTTCAAGTACTATTAAATTTTTACATTAATAAGCATTTAATAGTTTTGAGTTTAAATTAATGAGATTTTATAGAAAATATGATTAGGAGTTCTTGTTTGATTTTGCTTTGTGTTGGGCTCAGACTCAGTGTCTTGTGTATATTAAGCAAGCTCTGCATTAGCTCAGCTGCATCTTTATCCTACTGCCATTTTACATAGGATAAAATCATAATCTACATATAAAAACATTTTTTTTCAATTCATATATTTTTCTCCTTCTACGTCTTTGTACTCTGCAGACCACGCTGGCCTTGAACTTACAAGATCCTCATGCCTCTGCCTCCCAAGTGCTGGAAATAAAGGCTTGAGACACCATGCCTGGCTTGTAAAAACTTTTTAAAAGGTTTATTTATTTAATGTGTATGAAAGTTATGCCTGTATATGTGTATATGCACTATATCTGTGCGTGGTACCTGTGGAAGTCAAAAGAGGACATCAGAGCTCCTGGAACTGGACTTAGAGATGGTTGAAAGCTGCTTTCTGTGTGCTGGAAACTGAAACTGGGTCCCCTGAAGATCAGCAAGTACTTTTAACTACTGGCCTGTTGCTCTAGCCCCATTATCTACATATTTATATTTGACAATAAAATGTGTTTTATAGATTTATACTATGAAATATATCAGATTATCAAGAAAGTAATCTCAGCTACACAGGAGCCTGAGAAGAGTCCATTAGTTCAAGACTTTGATGAGCTACAGAGTGAATTCACCTTCAGCCTTGGCAACTTAGGGAGCTCATATTTTACAATAAAGTAGTTCAAAGGATGCTGGTGATATATCTCAGAATGTAGGTTCAATCCTCAGTACCACAAACAAACAAATAGGATACATTGTTAAGTCTTTGCTTTCATATGCACTTACTCTCCTAAAGACTACTCCTAATATACATAGAAGTTATTTTTCATGTAAATCTATTTGGAAGAACATTTTTATAGAAATATTTGTTGTTTGTTAGGCAGTATTTTGTAATGAAAATGTTTAGATTTGGGAGTCAGATTTTTTTCCTCTCATTGTCTTTGTTACCTTGAAAAACCATTTAATTTTTAAAACTTTAGCTTTTCATCTATTAAGTTGGTATTACCTTGGCATGCATGAGAAAAAGAAACGTCTAAGATGTCATTATATAAATATTAAGTAAGTACTAACCAATTTTAATTATTATATAACTTATGTGGTTTAATATCCTAAGATTCACACTTACTCAGATAAGCTTTGTACTTGTGTATTCAAAGAGATACTAATATGTGAAAACCACATTTAGAATATAACAGCTAAAAAATATGAAAAGAGAGCTACCAGATTTCTTCTATAGTACCTAGATAAGAGGCTTCCTTCCTTTCATTTTGTTTACTTTCTTTTCCATTCCCTTCCTTCCTTTCTTTGCCTCTCCTTTGTTGCCTTCTTTTCTTTTTTCCTTCCTTCCTTCCTTCTGATTAGAGTATTAACTTTGCTTTTGCAGGGGAAATGAATGGGAATAGATTCATTCCAGACAGTGTAGTTAAGGTACAGAAGTATAAGAAAGTAACATTGCTGAGTAGTTTTTAATTTTTACTTTAGTGTGTACTCATGTGCCACAGATGTGGTGGTCAGAAAACAATTTGTGGACATTGGTTCTGTCTTCGACTGTGTGGGTCTCACAGCGTGGTTGGTAAGGGCCTTTACCCACCGAGCTAACTAGCTGGCCACCATCTGGCGGTTCTCTTGTGGCAAACTCTTGAGTATTTGGATGACAGGCAGTAGATGACTTCACCCCTGCATTTAAGTAGCAATTAAACAGGAAGGGATAAAGGTTCTGAATGTATAAATGTGTAGTAACTACCAAAATATGTAACAGACCTAGTAGAATTCAAGGAGAAAACACATCTATAGTTAGGGAATGATTTCACACATTTATTAGGAATTGTAACGTTTAGTGATAAAAACTAAGGACTTCAGGCCTGGAGAGACGGCTAAGTGGTTAAGAGCACTGGCTGCTCTTTGAGAGGACCTGGTTTGGCTGCATCACGCACATGGTGGTTCACAACCTTTTGTAACAGTTACAGGTCTGAAGCCTCTTGTGACCTCTCCGGGCTCCCACACAGGGAGCCCTACATATAGTCAGATGCACACACGTACAGAAGATGACACACACATAACATAAGATTAAATAAATATTAAAAAAGAAGAAAAAACTTTAAAAAATGGCTTGGAGAGTTGAACAGCACAACTGAAAATCTTTATCCAGGGCCAGGCATAGTGGCACACATCTTTAATCCCAGAAGTTGGGAGGCAGAGGCAGGAGGATCTCTGTGAGTTCGAGGCCAGTCTGGGAGTTTGAGGACAGCCAGAACTACACAGAGAGACACTTTCTCACAAAACCAAACAAAAGCAAAAGAACCATGTAGATTTAGGAAATTAATTATACTTTCACTTAAAATTTGTTTAAAGAAGCTTAAATACAGAAAGTAAAAAGTTTGTGAAGGGAAAGATTTAAGACTATAGATGGTTTAAGTGACCTTGGTTAATAGAAGGGTCACAAGTTTCCCTTATAGAAAGGATGTGATGGGTGTGATTTTTAAATATAAAAAAGTTTTATAATGGGGTGATACTGATTAAAGAAGCTTAGTGCTTTCAGTTAAGTATGAAAATTATGAAGAAAGTTGGGCTCACCCAGGAGGCAGGGAGCAGGGTCTGCTTTAAGCAATGCGTGCTGGTGGTTCATTCTTACTGTTCAGTTTATATTAGTAAAAATTACGGGGTTTGTTTTTCTTTTGAGCCTATATAATCCTGGATGGCCTAGAACTTACCTTCTAGACCGGGCTGGCTACAGGTTGAAAGTTCTGCTTGCCACTGTTTTGTTGTTTGGTTTTGTTTAAGTACCTTTTAAAAATTAACTTAATCTTTTCCTGGGTCATATAGAATTAATTGATTATCTTACATTCTACACCATAGATTGATCATGTGACTTAACTTGTACAAATTTATTGTTCTCTGTAAGGATGCTCCTTTAGTCTGTTTCTAGATTAGGGGATAGAATTGCCTATGCATAGGAATTTATGTATGCTTCTGAATTGATAAGTGCTTTGTATTATATTTATGCTGCTAGAGTGAGAAAGTTATTGTAGTAAAACTAACTATAATTTCACAGTAAAGCCTAATAATGTTTTGGTTAAAAATTACTCCTGAGCTTAGAAAGATGATTCATTTGATAAAATCTGCTATGTAAACATAGGAACCTGAGTTTGGATCTCCAGGACCCACTAGGCCCAGCTGCATACATGTATCTGTAATCTCAGCATTGGGAAGATAGAGACAGGTAGAGTCTTGGAACTCATTGGCTAGTCAGTCTAGCCAAAACAGTAGCCCCAGTTTCAATGAGAGACCCTGTCCCAAAAATGCAGTGGAAAACAACTGAGGAAGAAACTTGTTGACCTTTGGTCTCCAAATGCATGTCCAAACACATGGATGTGTAGCTATGTACACATGTGTACACATACACAAAAGCATATATACCACATATGTCCATATATGACACAACACATACCCACATGCACACAGACACAGGTACATGAAGTTCTCAATAAAGAGAATTCTTATTTTCGTTGTTTTTGTTTGAAACCTTAGAGCGGAGCAGCAGAGGAATGAAGCACTGTGTAACGCAGAAGAGCTGAGCAGAGCTTTCCAGCAGTATAAAGAGAAAGTGGCTGAGAAGCTGGAAAAGGTGAGGGAAGAGGGTGTTCAAATTCAGGGTCTTGTTTCGCTGTCCATAGCTAAAAGGAGATGATACATAGAATTTTTTACCTATTGAATAACAATTTTAAAGATTTTATTCGTTAACAAACTAATAAAATTGAAATAATTGAAATAAAATTTTTAGTTCAACCAGGTAGAGGTGGCACATGCCTTTAATGCCAACATTTGCGAGGCAGAGACAGGTAAATCTCTGAGTTTGAGGCCAACCTGGTCTATAGAAATAGTTCCAGGACATCCAGGGCTACACAGAGAAACCCTGCCTTGAAAAACAAACAAACAAATGAACAAACAACAAACAAACCCCCAAAACTTTTATTTCAAATTTATTTTAATTTTGTGGGGTTTTAAATAATTTTAATTTTTTAAATTACATACACATTGGGCAGGGGTGCTGTATGCACGTGAGTGTAGGTGCCCATGGAGGCCAGAAGGAAGGTTTGGATTCCCTGGTCCTCAAGGAACAGGCAGCTAGGAACGGAACGTGGGTCCTCTCTAATAGCAGTACCTGTTCTTAACCACTGAATTATCTCGCCAGCCCTGGTTATGTTTTCAAATAATGTTCCATGATATTGTCCAGGGTGCTTCTGCCTCAGCCTCCAAAGTAGCTGGAATTATAGCTACTTAGAACATCATGTCTAATGATATAAAAATCTCTAAAATACTAGTTAAGGAATATGTTTATCAGTACTTTTGTTATCAGGAGAAACTTTTACTGAAGGAATAGAAGAATGAGTATAAGAAATAGAAAAGAGGGCTGAAGAGATAGCTGAGCCATTAAAGGCTACGCTGACAACCATAAACGTAAGAAATAGAAAAGATATAGAGAATGAAGGAGTGAGTGAGTACATGTTGGAGCCTGAGATGCAGAAGCAGGAAGTTCATGCCTGTTTTCCCTGAACATGAAGGCAGAGATCATTGCACAACATTTCTCTTGACCTGTTGACTTAAGAGGGGCTTACTTCACCTTGTAGAAGGACCGTCTTTTCAGCCGATCCTTTGCAGAAATATAATGATTTATTTTATATATAATGACATATCATTATATACAATGATGTATTTATATTTATTATATATAATGTGTAATTATGTAAATTATCTCAATTTAATATCTTTAAATACCATAATAAAACCTATATCAAATAAGACCACAGTTGGATATTGACATATTGAATTTAGAACATAAGTCTGATCAAGTGATATTGATATGAGACTTCCATTTTGATATAATAATTTAAGCAAAGGAATTTAATGGTCTGTTAAAAGAAAAGTCAGAGGATGAATTCTAGAAAGAAAGTATTAGAATAAGAATTTACCAGCTGGGTGTAGTGGTACATGCTTTTAATCCCAGCCCTTGGGAGGCAGATGCAGGCAGATTTCTCTGAGTCTGAGATGAGTTCTAGGATATTCAAGGCTACACAGAGAAACCCTGTCTTGAACAAACAAACAAACAAACAAAAACAACCCCCAAACAAACAAATAAACAAACAAATAAATAAATGACTGTTGAGTATGGTTAACTAAAATGTGTTCACAGATTAAACATTTATTGGTTGTTTAATTGCAGCTACATCGGATAGTTATTTTATGGGGGCTAGAGCTGGAGTTGAGTAATAGAGCACTTGTCCACTATGCATTCTGCTCTAGTGCAGTCACTAGTATTAAAAAAAAGTTATTTTACATACTAGATTTAATATTAATTTTTGGGAGATGTAGGGAGATATAATATTTAATGCTTACTATGAAAAGGTCACAGTCTACTAAGACTAGTAATGTAGAAAAAAGATGTCGGTATTTTGGAATAACAGTATGAATGTTAGGTGTAGTTGGAGGCATGAAGGTGGAATTCTGGGGGACTCAGAAGGCATTGTGAAATGGGGATGCTAGTATGTTTGAGCTGCTAGGCTGTCTCAGATAACTGTGTATCACAGACTAGTGTAAAGCTGAAGAGAAAATAAAATACATGTTCTAAGATACTGAGGTGGTTTGAATAAAAATGGGCTCCACAGGCTCACAGGGAGTGGCACTCACAGGGATGTGGGCTTGTTGGAGGAGGCAGGTCATTCTAGGCTCCAAGGTCTCCAATGCTCTAGACAGGTCTTGTGTGACATTCACTTCCTGTCTAGATGTAGAACTCTCAGCTCTCCCAGCACCGTGTGTATGTGCAGGCTGCCATGCTTTTGCCGTGATGATAATGGACTAAATCTCTGAAACTCTAAGCCAGCCCCAGCTAACTGTTTTTCTTTAAAAGAGTTGCTATAGTCATGGTGTCTCCACATAGCAATAGAAGTAAGACAGATGCACATTTATATCTGAAGCTGTATAGTAGTGGTGAGATTCAAGTCCAACAGCTGAAAGACTAAGTAGGAGGCATTGAAGATGGCAGGTCAGGGCTGGTGAGACAGCGCAGAGGATAAAGGTCCTTTGTGCATAAGTCTGAATTTAATCTCCAGAGCCCACATAAAAATGAAAGGAGAGAATTGACTCCACATAGTTGTCCTCTGGCTTCATGTGTGCATGCCTACATACATTCTTCATACATACGCATTGATAATAACATTAATTTTAATATAATTATGTATAATGTAACAAGTATAATACATAGTTATATAATATTGTTTACATATATCATACTATCATGTAATAGCACAGTATATATATATATATATTTTTAAGATTTATTTATTTATTATTTATACAGCATTCTGCCTGCATGTATGCCTACATACCAGAAGAAGGCACTAGGTCTCATCTGGTTGTGAGCCACCATGTGGTTGCTGGGAATTGAACTCAGGACCTTTGGAAAAGCATCCAGTGCTCTTAACTTCTGAGCCATCTCCCCAGGCCCCAGCATAGTATATATTATATATTGCTATATAACTCTATATAAAACTATATATGCGTTATATATCATATATATTGTTTTGTTTTGTTTGAATAGGGATTATCTGTGTAACAGCTCTGGATGTCCTGGAACTCATGTTTAGAATAGGCTGGCCTTGAACTCACAGAGATCCACCTACTTCTGCCTCTTGAGTGCTGGGATTTGAGACATACATTACCATGACTGGCAATAATAATATATTTTAAAAATTAGAAAGATGATTAATCTGATTAGGTAGTAGTGGTGAGAGATGTGAAAACTGGACATTAAGTGAGATCTAGTGAGGACTTGAAAATGTTAGAATGAGGTAGTAAGAAAGAGAAAATATAGTGTTTCTAGGATTTTGGTTTAAATAACTGGTGAATGTTTTTTATCTTGAATCAAAACAGGTAATTTGTGGAAAAATGAATTCTCTATTGAAAATGTCTGCATGTTATCCATGGGGATTCACATCCCCAGGTATAGTCTAGAGATTGAAATCTAGACTAGAGCTTCGTATTTAAGAATTGGCAGTATTTAAGTGGTGGAAATTTGGGGCAGTAATAAATTTGTACAGAGTGAGAAGAGGATGAAAGGTACAACTATGAAAGATTAAAAAAAGCAATTTTTGAAATATATTGACAAGTGATAATGAAAGTTAGAGAAGTAGGTAAATATAGAAAAACTGAGGCAATTTAAGCATTTAAAAATAGTTACCCAAAATATATAAATATTATATTATTATACTGGAACAGATTATTTTGTATAATTAATATGTGCTAGTTTAAAAAAGATCATTAAAAAAGTTGTCAGTATCAGATGTTTCAGATTTGTCAAGAATTGTGAAGAATGAGACAGCTATATAGAATGCACAACCTCTGCAATGGAATGGAAGAAAAAGTAGCTAACTATTCTTCATTATATAAAGTGAAGAAGAAATAAGTAGTAGGGAGCAGGAATATAAAGAAGCTCAATTAAGATAAGAGGTTTAGGCCTAGGAGTAACCTGAGCCTACCAGCTTTGAAGGGAAAGAGCCAGCAGAAGGAGTAGCAAAGAAACACTGAAGATGTTGGAATCAAGAAAGTGGAAGCTGGCACTAGTAAGGTTACTCAAAATGCTGTCGTTGTAGAGGGTGTTTGATTTGTTTTTGAGGCACCCTGATCACTGTGTGGTCCAGACTGCCTGGAGTTCATGAGTTCCCTTTCTTAGCGTGCATCACCCACACCTGCTCATGAGACTCCTTTTAACCAAATACAGACATTTCTGTCCCTTAATGGAAAAATGTAGATGAAAATGTTTTAAGAAATGTTTCCCAAGGCCTGGAGAGGTGACTGGGTGGTTAAGAGCACTGGCTGCTCTTCCAGATGGCCTTGGTGCAGTTCCCAGCACCCACATGGCAGCTCACAACTGTCTGTAGCTCCAGTTCCATAGGATCTGACCCCTCACACAGACACACATGCAGGCAAAACACCATGCACATTAAATAAAAATAAATAATTAAAATGTTTCCCATAGGATTTTGTACCACATGTTTTTGGTCTAATGAAGGTATTGCTAAGATGATTTGTGTAGCCTGTTGAAGGAGTGATGGGAGGGATTTTGGAGATGCAGGTTGAGTGCTTCTCATAACAAAATTGTAATGAGAAGGAAAGTAGCCAAAGCTAAACTTTCAAAGGGAACATACAAAGTAAAGACAAGCATAATAAACAAGGAACAACTAGTAAAAGAAAGTAAGAATGGCCAGAGTCTTGGAAGTCTGGTGTAACACTGGCATGACAGGTGCAGAGGAAGACGGCAGGAAGTTGTCGGTCATTAGGTACTACCGGAGAAAGACTATCTCCCTCTCACTTCCTTTCTCTCTCCCTCTCTCTTCTCCTCTCTCTCCCTCTCTCTCTGTGTGTGTGTGTACACATGCACATGTGCACAGGCACCTTAGTGCTTATATGGAGATTAGAGGACGTCTGGAACGTGGTTCTTTCTTTCCACTACGTGAGATCTAAGAGCCAAATCAGGTTGTCAGGTCACACTGAAGCTGCTTTCTCACTGGGAAATCTTGCTGGCCTGCAAACCCATTAAACAATATAAGGTATTAATATCTTACTAGGTATTGAAAACTTAAGTACAAATTAATAAGAACACTATTTTTGAAGGTCTTTGAGAAGGTTCTTAAGGAAATGTATATTTTAGAAGGGACTTTTAGTAAGGTGATGTTAGAGGAAAAATACTTTTAGGAAGAATGTCTTCAAAGCAAAGGGAAAATGTAATAGATTTTAAAAAATAGGCTTAGAGCCAGGTGCAATGGCACATACCTGTAATCCCAGCACTCAGGAGGCAGAGGCAGGCAGATCTCTGTGAGTTTGAGGCCAGCCTGGTCTAGGAGGTGAGTCCAGGACAGCCAAGGCTACACAGAGAAACCTTGTCTTGGAAAACCACAAAAAAAGAAAAAAGAAAAAAATTATATACTTAGGGTCAACAGTTTCTAATTTTGCTCAGTAAAATTCCATAGTTGGATCAGTATAACAAAGGATAACACAAGAAATAGATTTTCTTGTGAAATTCATTCAGTCTTTCACTATTCTAGGTCCAACCTGAGTGCTATTGTATTTTTTCTTTTTTAAAAAAATTTATTTTACAATTTATTCACTTTGTATCACCACTGCAGCCTTCTCCCTCATCTCTTCCCAGTCCCACTTACCCTCCCTCTTCTCCCCCTTTGCCCTTTCTCTATTTTTAATTTTTTATTATTTTTATTATTATCGTTTATTACAATTTATTAAATTTGTATCCTAGCTGTGGCCCCCTCCCTCATCTCCTCCCAATCCCGCCCTCCCTCCCTCTTCTCCTCCTATGCCCCTTCCCTAGTCCACTGATAGGGGAGGTCCTCCTCCCCTTTTATCTGACCCTAGCCTATCAGGTCTCATCATGACAGGCTACATCATCTTCCTCTGTGGCCTGGCAGGGCTGCACCCTACAGGGGGAGTTGATCAAAGAGCTGGCCACTGGGTTCATGTCAGAGACGGTGCCTGTACCCCTTACTAGGGAACCCACTAGGAAACTGAGCAGTCTATGAGCTTAGTTCTCAGGTACTGCACAAGAAAGTTCTTTGTTGATGGCTGAGCAAGACACTGATCTGAGTCATAGCTCAGTTTGGTCACTCTATCATGTTTTTCTTTTTTTTTTTATATTAATTGCAGTTTATTTACTTTGTATCCCAGCTGTAGCCCAATCCCTCATTCCCTCCCAATCCCACCTTCCTTCATCTCCTCCCATGGCCCTCTCCAAGTCCACTGATAAGGAAGGTCCTCCTCCCCTTCTATTGGACCCTAGCCTATCAGGTTTCGTCAGGACTGGCTGCATTGTCTTCCTCTGTGGCTTGGCAAGGCTGTACCCCCCTCAGGGGGAGGTGATCAAAGAGCCAGCCACTGAGTTCATGTCAGAGACAGCCCCTGTTCCCCTTACTAGGAACCCACTTGTATACTGAGCTGCCATTGGCTACATCTGAGCAGGGGTTCTAGGTTATCTCCATGAATGGTTCTTGGTTGGAGTATCAGTCTCACAAAAGACTCCTGGGCCCAGAAATTTTGGTTCTGTTGCTCTCCTTATGGAGTTCTGTCTTCTCCAGGTCTTTCTATCTCCCCCTTCTTTCATAAGCTTCCCTGCACTCTACCCAAAGTTTGGTTATGAGCCTCAGCATCTGCTTTGTTACACTGCTGGGTAGAGTCTTTCAGAGGCCGTCTGTGGTAGGCTCCTATCCTGTTTTATGTTTTCTCCTTCCAATGTCCGTCCCTTTCTGAGTGAGGATTGATCATCTTACCCAGTGTCCTCCTTTTTGCTTAGCTTCTTTGGGGCTATAGATTTTAGTATGTTTATCCTATATTATATGGCTAATATCCACTTATAAGTGAATGTATATACCCTGTGTGTCTTTCTGCTTCTGGGATACCTCACTCAGGATGATCTATTCTAGATCCCATCATTTGCCTGCACATTTCATGCTTTCCTTGTTTTTAATTGCTGAGTAGTATTCCATTGTGTAAATGTACCACAATTTCTGTATCATTACTCAGTTGAGGGACATCTGAGTTGTTTCCAGATTCTGGGTATTATGAATAAAGCTGCTACAAACATGGTTGAGCAAATGTCCTTGTGTACTTGAACATATTTTGGATATATGCCTAGGAGTGGTATAGCTGGATCTTGAGGAAGCGCTATTCCTAATTGTCTGAGAAAGCACCAAATTGATTTCCAAAGTGGTTGTACAAGTTTACATTCCCACCAGCAATGGAGGAGGGTTCTCCTTTTTCCACATCCTCTCCAGCATGTATTGTCCCTTGAGTTTTTGATCTTAGCCATTCTGATGGGTGTAAGGTGAAATCTCAGAGTCGTTTTGATTTGCATTTCCCTGATGACTAAGAACGCTGAGCATTTTTTTTGTTGTTGTTGTTTCTCTGCCATTCTATATTCCTCTACAGAGAATTCTCTGTTTAGCTCTGTACTTCATTTTTTAAATGGATTACTTGATTTGTTGCTTTTTAATTTCTCGAGTTCTTTATGTATTCTGGATATTAGCCCTCTGTCAGATATAGGATTGGTGAAGATCCTGTAGGCTGTTGTTTTGTTTTCATGACAGTGTCCTTTGCTTTACAGACGCTTTTCAGTTTCATGAGGTCCTATTTATTAATTGTTGATCTTAGAGCCTGTGCTGCTGGTGTTCTGTGCAGGAAGTTGTCTCCTGTGCCACCATTGTAACTTATTATTATTATTAATCATATTTGTGTGTGTTTGTCTTGCTGTGTATATGAGGCAGAGGATAACTTTCTGGAATTGTTTTTCTCAACCTTTATATATTGTCTTAGTTCCTTTCAATTGCTGTGACAAAACACCATGACCAAGGCAGCTTATAGAAGAAAGCTTTTAACCTGGGGCTCATCATTCCAAATGGTTAGAGTTCATGATGTCAGAGCAAAGGCATGATAAGAGAAACAGCTGAGAGCCCACATCTGGATCCACAAGCAGGAGGAAGAGAACACATTGGAAATGATCTCAGTCTTTTGAAACTCCGAGTGGCACACTTCTTTCAATAATGCCACACTTCTTAATCCTTCCCCAAACAGTTCCATGGGACCAATTGTTCAAACATGAGACTATAGGGCTATTCTTATTTGAACCAATGCACATGGGTTCCAGGGAAGAAACTTAGATTGTCAAGCTTGCATTGTTAAACAGCAAATACCCATACTCATTGAGCTATCTTGTTGGCCCCTGGGGTTTTTATTTCATTGGAGATATTTTTAAATTTTTAAAATTAAAATTTTGAAACACATGCACTGATGGGTATCCCTTAATTACTTGGATGTACAATCCCTGTTTGAATTGCTTGCCTTGTTCATGTTTGGCCTGAGCATTTTGCCTTCAGGTGACATAATTCTTGCCAATCTGTTACTGGCCCTTAAGGATTCCTGAGTGAATAGTAACATCACATCCTCCTTCCTGTGTTTTCGTTATGTTGTTTCTTTTCACTACTGTACCAGGGACTTAAATATAAGAAATACTTAGTCTATTCCTGTTTCTTTCCAAAATCACTACTCATAATTTTAGCTTGAAACAATGTAAAACTTATGATTATATTTGTATATTCACTTAAAACAAATCTTTTTTTTTTAGGTTCAAGCTGAAGAAGAAATACTGGAGAAAAATCTTAGTGACTGTGAACAGGAAAACAAAAGGCTTCAAGAAAAGTGTAATCTGTATAAAAGTGAATTTGAAAGTTTAAAAGAGAAATACAGGTACATTATTATGGAAAAATTTCTATGCAAATAGGAAAAAGGAAACATTTAAAAATACATCTTTTACTGTAAATATGGACTTTTTATTTAATGTAAAAGGCTTAAAATTTATGATTGAAACTTTTCTAGGTATAAGGCTATTATTTTAAATATACGACATCTTAATTCTAACACATTTGTAAATATAGAATAGAGATCAACACAAAGAATTCTTAGAGTGTGATCACATTAGCTAACTAGTAAAGATGCTTAAAAAGGAAGAAAATCACCCAGTGCATTTTTTTTAAATAAAAGAAGAAACAGTGGCTCAGAGAGTAGCCATCATTTTTCCATAGTCAAGAAGGTAGACTAGCGACTTCCTTCAGACATGAGCTATTAACAGACCATGTCTCCGCCCGTCAAGAAACGACTAGAATTCTTGTGGGATCAAGTAGAATTTTATAAGAACATAATGATGAAGAGGAGAAAACCTGTGGTGGCTGTGAAGGCCCTGATGCCATGTATGTCAAATTAATATCTTCTGATGGTCATGAATTTATTGTAAAAAGAGAGCATGCGTTAACATCAGGAACAATAAAGGCCATATTGAGTGGGCCAGGGCAGTTTGCTGAGAACGAAACCAGTGAGGCCAATTTTAGAGAGATCCCTTCACACGTGCTATCAAAAGTATGCATGTCTTTTACCTACAAGTCCGCTACACTAACAGCTCCACTGAGATTCCTGAATTCCCAATTGCACCTGAAATTGCACTGGAACTGCTGATGGCCGCGAACTTCCTAGATTGTTAAATAAAATAAATTACAATAAACTGTGAATTTTTTCAGTATTTAATACCTGTAGTTCAGTTAGTAATTTTCTCACATATAGCATGTTGCCTGTATGACATTGAACTCTAAAGTTAATGGCTGAGCAGATTCCTTCTGTCATTTGCATAGCAGAGTTGAAATTTGTTTGCTACATCAACAAATTAAGGACGTATCACAAGCCAAGAAATAAGCCAATAATGCCAGTTACAGAAAAAAAAAAAAGGTCGACTAGCGACCGGTGAGGTGGTGAGGTGTCCTAACAGGTAAAGGCACTTGCTGCCTAAGTCCGCTGACGGGAGTTTGACCGCTGGTGCCCACGTAAAGTGGAAGGAGAGAACCGACGCCACATGGCTGTCCTCCAAGCTTTGCATGAGTGCTGTAGCATGTGCCTCCCCAATCTCGCTCTGTTCCTCCCTCATACACACTAATAATGGTGATGAATACATTTTAAAATTTTAAGTGAGATTATATTAAAGATGATAACTTTAATGGGGCTTCTGACTGGTGCTCTGTACAATATAATTTTTTTCATAACTAATAGTTGTGATTAACTTTCAGAAGGTAATGTTATTCCATTTTCATCACCTCAGACTATTAATTTAAAGTGGAGAGAGCAATCAAAACAATTTTTTTATCTAATTGTATAATTATGGTACATTTTCCTTACGGTGTGTACATTCAGTATTTTTGCCTTGGTAGATGAGGTAAAGTTACTAGAGTAATTCCTAATACCTCATGCTATCAATTATAGCATTTACTTTAATGAAATGCTGCTAATTATACTCTGATAAAATGCTTGATCACTAAAATTTTTGTTTTATATTTTATAAAATAGCTTTTGAAAACATTTTGTTTTTATTTTAAATTTCAGATATATAGGAGTCTGTGTAGGGGAAGGTACTGTGCTTGTGAGTACAGTGTCCTCTGAGCTTAGAAGAGAGCATTGCATTTCTAAAGCTGGAGTCCTGGTGATTGTGAGCCACCTAAATGGGCACTGAGACCTGAACTTGGGGCCTTTCTTAGAACAACAAATACTCTTAACCATTGAGCTGTCTCTCCAGTACCTACAAAACCCTGCCTCCCAATACTGGCGATCAAATTCGTGACCTTATTCTGATTATTCTCTTCCCCAACTCTCTCATCTCCCTCCAACTTTTTTCAACAACCCCCCCACCCAAGTCCCATTCTCATGTTCATGTCTTTTTGTTTTGTGTGCAGCTAAGTTTAACCAGGGCTGTCTCTGTGTCCATGTCTGGTAGGCTCACCAATAGCATACAACTGAAGACAATAACTCTCCTCCTTCCAAATCCATCAGTAGTTTAATAGTGGGATTGGGAGGGGACGAGGGAGGGGGCTACAGCTGTGATACAAAGTGAATAAACTGTAATAAATAAATAAATAAATAAATAGTTCATCAGGGAAGGGTAGGGCCCCAAGTGTCCCTTCTACTTCTGGCTTTTAACAGGCCCAGTCTTATGCAGGCTTAGTGCAGGCAGTGGCAATGGCTGTCAATTTATGAATGTAACAGTTGTTTCATGCCCAGAAGATGACATTTTGTAGCCCTTTGAAGTTTTCTCTATTTCACATGATGGTGGCTATGAGTTTGTCATAGATAGCCTTTATTATATGGAGGTATGTTTCTTCCATCCCTAGTCTCTTAAGGAATTTTATTATGAAGAAATGTTGGATTTTGTCAAAGGTGTTTTCTGTATCTGTTGAGATGATCATGTGATTACTATCTCTATGTCTTTTATTACTTGCATATTTAAACCTCCACATGTCTGGGTTAAGCCCAATCTGATCATCTCTAATGTTATTAATTTTTATTTTTAATTTTTTTTGTTTTTGGTTTTGGTTTTGTTTTGTTTCCAGATAGTTTTTCTGTGTAGTCCTGGCTCTCCTAGACTTGCTTTGTAGACCAGGATGGCCTCAAACTCACAGAGATCTTCTTGCCCCTGCCTCCCCAGTGCTGGGATTACAGGCATGTGCCACAGTGCCCAGTTCTAATTTTATTAATTTTGGTCTTTTCTTTTGGCTAATTTGATTTACAATTTTCTAATTTTTTTAATTTTAATTTTTATTATTTGTGTGTGTGTGTGTGTGTGTGTGTGTGTGTGTCTTAAAGTGTTTGTGCAGGTGGCTGTAGGAGTCTGCAGAAACCAGAAGAGGCCATTGAGTCCCTTGTGCTGGAGTTACAGGCAGTTGTGAGCCACTTGTCCTCATGTTGCATAGCAAATGCATTTTATTTCTGAGTTGTCTTCCCAGCCTTTGTCTTTTGAAGAACCAACTCTTTGTTTCTTTGAGTTTTTTGTATTTATTTGTTTCCATTTCAGTAATTTCCTGCTTTTTTTTTTTTGTATGTTTGTTTGTTTGTTTGAATGGCTGGTTTGGTTTTTTAAGATGGTTTCTCTGTGTTCGGGACCTCACAGAGATCTGTGTGCCTCTCAAGTACTACAGTTGAAGGAGTGCCCCACTATTTCTGGTCATTTCTGCCTGGTTTTAGTTATTTATCCCCATCCTTTTTTTTTTTTTTTTTTATTTTTGTTTTTTTTTTTTTTTCTTTTTTTTTTTTTTTTTTTTTCAGTTCAGGGTTTCTCTGTGTAGCCCTGGTGATGAATTATAACTCACTCTGTAGATCATGCTGGCTTCAGGTCTAACTGCCTCTGCTTCCTGAGTGCGAGGATTAAAGGTGTGCACCACCAAGACCAGCATAAATATTTTTATTTGTAATTTGTTCTTAGAGGAAATTTAACCTAGAGGTATACAGTTTAAGCAGCAGTTTACTTAGCAAAGCAATGTAAAACATGAACACCAAAGAGAAATTAGAGTGGGTTATCCTGAGGGGCAGGAAAGTAGCCCTTAGTTCTCTGTGTGATACCTACATACATGTTTGAAGTGAGTGGCATGTTCGTGCAGGTATAGTAACTTTCTTTTTCTCCCAGGTCATACTAGCGATATCTTTCCATAATCTTGAAAGTTCACAAAGATGAGGGGCTCCTGTCAAAACCATAGTTTAAATGGTATACTGGTACCAGATTCTTTGCATATACAGCATTTTGTTCATGTGCACGTGTGGCAGGCAGTTAGGAAAGTGCCCTGGTGCCTCAGTTTCTCCTTACTGGAAGAATATAAGTGCTGCTGTAAGGCAGTTGAACCACTAGGAGGCATTCTTATAATCAAGTTATGGCTCCCAACAGCTCCCTGTTCACCTCAAAACTCACTCCTTGTCTACCAGTTGTTACCATCTTTTTTCTTTCTCGTCTTCTTTCTTTGAAAGATGGATTTACACAGTGTAGCCTAGGCTGGTCCTTTGCCTTCACCTCTTGATTGCTGGTAATACATATGAGCTGCCATGCCTGGCCTACGATCCTGAATCCCCAGGATACATGCCATTTGATAATGTGACTAATCTTCAGGATGGGGTTGTATTCAGTGTAATGGCATTTTGTTGAGGATTTTTTTTTTTTTGCTATTTTTGTATACGTATACAATATTAGCCTCTACTTTCCCCTTTTTTGTTGTGTCTTTGGTTTAAAGAGAGAACATGAATATCAAAAATGTGTGTACATTTTATTTTAATATTAATGCTTTTTTTCTTTATAGGCAGTTAAAAGAAGAGCACAGCAGTGGAAAAGAAAAATTAAGGATTATGGCAATGAAAAATTCAGAAGTCATGGCACAGTTAACTGAATCTAGACAATGTATTCTAAAGCTAGAGAGTGAGTTAGAAGACAAAAATGAAATATTACGAGAAAAGTTGTCTTTAGTAAATGAAAACCAAGAATTGAAGGTTCGTATTGTAACACAGAATGAACAATTAGATTTGTTTCAGCAGGAAATTGATAGTTCTAGGTTGGAACTGAGGAGTTTAGAAAAACTTATATCTCAGATGCCAGTAAGTATGTGTGAAAAGGAGTGAGTATACTTGATGTGCAGTGGACAAGGAACCTTGCTCTTTTACAGAACATCATTTTGTGGTTGCTGCACTAACTTATGTTCTTCTCCTTGTTTGTTCAGCTAATTCTTTCATCTGGTACCTAGTTTCCCCTCGCATTCACCATTCTACTTTTTCACTTTTCCTTAGTCTCTGAGATGCCATATGTCAGAACTGCACAGAATTTTTGAAGAGTTTTAAGAAGTATTATTTATACTTTGAAAATTCATTCCCTTGAAGTATACTATTAAGTGAGTTTTAATAAAGTTACAATCCAGTTTTACATATTTCTGTCATCCCTAAAACATCCCTTGTGCCTTTTTATAATTAGGCACCCTACCTGGGGAAACCAATAATAGTTTGTATTTCTGTAGACTTGTCTTTTGTGGACATTTCATATGAATACAGTAATAAAGACATGTGGGTTTTTTTTGCATCTGTTATTTTCATATTTTTAGGGTCATTCACATTGAGACATCAGTATTTTATTTCTTTTTAGTGTTGAATAGTATTCAGTTGTGTGAATATACTATATCTTATTTAAGCCAATGAACATTTGGCTATTTCTGCTTTTAGTCTGTATAAATAGTGCTTTTGTGAATATTGGCATAAGAGTCTTTCTGTTAACATGTTCCCATTTCCCCAGGATAAATGCCTGAGAGTAAATTAGGTATCTACTCTAAATTTCTTGGAAATATGGTAAATTTATGGCAAATTGTCTTCTAAAGCTCCTACACATTTAGAGCTCTTCCAGCACCAATTCTCTGCATCCCTGTTTGTCTCGCTATATCCCTCTTAGTTTATGTGAACTTGTGTTTCACTATGGTTTTAATTTTTATTTTTATAATGGCTAATGTTGAACAACTTTATGTAAACTTATTCAGCTAGCATGGAATTTAAAATATTCTTGTATGTTAGATTGGAAAGGTGAAGAAATTTGACGTTGACAGGTGTGAAAAAAGGTAAGAATGAGAAAATTATACTCATATGTCATGGTTTGTTTCACTTAAGAATGGATGGTAGACAGCATGGCAGATTTTACCAGTTTTAAAGTGCTGTCAGCCATGGAACTATAAAGCTGAGAGGAATTTGGAAATCTTAAGATTTGATGTCCTTTTACTAGTGAAAAACTGTGGGAGCAGGGAAATACTAGCCTAACGAGCAATTAGCAGGAAAATAGGCTCTAAGCTCCTTGCCTTTGCCTTATCTGCTTTTCTTAGATGCTGTTTACCAAGATTTTAGTGTACTATTTGTGTGCTTTAAGAATGGAACGTAGTATGCAGATGTATACTCATTTGGATATGCTCACTTTAGACGGAAATCCTTAGTTGTCCGCGGAGTCAAGAATGAGCTCACACATGACTCTACAGGTGGCACGATGCACGCTTGATCCTTTGTTCCATACAGTGCTAAGTCTGATCTGGAAATGTGAGACCTTTTATATTTCCAGAAAGTATGACTTGGTTTTTGTTTGAAGATTTTAGTCATTGAGTGCTTTGCTGTTTGTTATAACTACTTTTTTTGTTTTCTTTTTAAAGATATATTTATTTTTATGTGCATTGATGGTTTTCTTTCATGTCTGTCTGTGTGAGGGCGTCAGATCCCCTGGAACAGGAGTGACAGACAGGTGTTAGCTGCCGTGTGGGTGCTGGGAATTGAACCTGGGTCCCCTGGAAGAGCAGCCAGTGCTCTTAAGCCTCTACTGAGTGATCTCTCCAGCCCCATGTCATAACTACTTTAAAAATTCTGTATTATTTTGAAATTTGTGTATCCTTCCTAGCCATGTTTCAAATATTGCTACATATAAATGCATCTTGAAAGAGTTTGCTTAGTGAGTTATTGAGAATAGTGTGTAAGCACCATAACTTCTTTTAATTATGTATTATGTCTGAAATATATTATATTGATTTTATAACTCAAACATGCTTATACATTCTATTGATAGATATCAGATTGTTTCCATGAAATTCGCAGTTTTTCAAACTGAGTATGAAGAAAGCGGTTGTAGTACATGCATATTATAAGTTCATGAATGTTTGTCTTTAACTTGCAGTTAAAAAGAGAAATAGTTGGCTTTAAGTCATCTCTTTCCAAGAACCAGATGAATAGTTTTTCTAAAAGGGACAGTTGCATTGGCTGCTGTGAGGCAAATAAGTTGATGATTTCTGAATTGAGGTATGCTTTTCAGTTTTTAAAGTTACAGTAAATAGAATATTTTTGTTGGTCTTTCAATTAGGATGGCTAGTTGAATAGTTTAAAAACTATAGGAAATTATAGAGAATCTTAAAAGATTCTGGCTGCCCAAGTTAAAATTGATTCTTAACATTTTTGTTGTTACTTGTTTCAGATCTCTTCTTCTAAATAAAAACCATTCAAGATGGAAATCCTTTGACCCTTTGCCAGTCCCAGGGCCCCCCACTCCTGCAGATAACCAGCGTTATCAATTAGAACGTGTATTCTTCTGTCTCTACTGTAAATGTTTGCATTCTTACATATGCATATAAACATGCATAGTGATGTTTATATGTATAGTTTTTCTGTAACACTCATATCATTTAAAAAGATCTGTTCATCAGGACTAGAGAGATATGGCTTAGTGAGTAAGCTATGTTCTGCTCTGGCAGAGGACTTTAGTACATTCCCTGCACACACATCAGGCTGCTCACAACTGCTTGCAGCTCCTGCTAAAGGGTATCTAATACCTCTGGCCTCTACCCACACCTACGCTTTTGTTCCATATACCTCACAACACACACACACATACAAACGTGTATATACATACATATATATATAATTAAAATAATTTATATATTATTATAATATATAATTATAAAAAGTATATATAATTAAAAATAAAATGAATCTTTTTAAAGATTTATTTATTATGTATATACTGTTCTGCCTGCATGTGTGCCTTCACCTCAGAGGACACCAGAGCTCATTACAGATGGTTGTAAGCTACCATGTGGTTGCTGGGAATTGAACTCAGGACCTCTGGAAGAGCAGCCAGTGCTTTTAAACTCTGAGCCATCTCTCCAGCCCCAATTAAATCTGCATATTTGGTCAAAGGATAAATTTGCATGATTACTTTGTTGCTTTAATACTTTAATGGTTGTCCTACTACTATGTCACAATTTATCCATTCTCTCTGATGTTACCTAGTATTTAGTTTTTGTTCTATTATAAACAGTGCTGCAAAGAACATCTTTATGTATGGTTCCTTATACATATATGTGAGGGTTTCTTCAATATAAACTCTTTGAAATGAAATTTATAGGTTGTAGAGTATTTTATTTTCAATTTTACTAGTTTTTATTATATTTGTAAAGTGGCTGAACCAGTTTGCAATCTGACTAATGGTTTATGAGAATTCCCATGTCCTAGCTGGGTGTAGTGGCTCACACCTTTAATTCTAACCTTCCAGAGGCAGAGGCTGGTGGATCTCTGTGAGTCTGAGGCCACCCTGGTCTATATAGTGAGTTCTACGACAGCCAGGGCTATGTAGAGACCTGTCTCAAAACACAAGAACAGAAAGAAAGAAAGAAAGAAAGAAAGAAAGAAAGAAAGAAAGAAAGAAAGAAAGAAAGAAAGAAAGAAAGGAAGGAAGGAAGGAAGGAAGGAAGGAAGGAAGGAAGGAAGGAAGAAAGAATGAATTTCCATGTCCTACATAAGAGTTGGCTATTATCAGAATTTTTAAGTTTTAGCTGGGCACTGTGGTGCATGCCTGTAATCCCAGAACTTGTGAGGCAGAGGCAGGCGATTTCTGTGAGTTTGAGGCCAGCCTGGTCTACAAAGTGAGTCCAGAACAGTCAAGGCTACACAGAGAAACCCTGTCTTGAAAAAACAAAACAAAAATAAAAACAAAGAATTTTTATTCATTATTTTATTAGTTGTGTGTATGTCATACACATGCACGAACACACACACACACACACACACACACACACACACACACACACACACACCAGTTATGGAGAGATCAGAGTCCAACATTCAGGAGTCATTTCTTTCCTCTTGTAGGATCCAGGGACCAAACTCAGGTCCTGATGCTTGTCAGGCAGTCATTTTTGCTGATTGAGACATCTTGTTGGCTCAGTATTTACCACAGTTTTAAATGTGAAAAATAGTTTTTTTTTTTAACATAAAATATTAGAGCATTGGTGGTGTGCACCTTTAATCCCAACACTTGGGAGGCAGAGTCAGGTGGGTATCTGTGACTTTGAGGCCACTCTGGTCTATAGAGCTAGTTCCAGGACAGCCAGGGCTACAGAGAACACCTATCTTGAAAAACAAAAACAAACAAGCAAAAATTTTAGCAATAACTTCTGCCTTTTTTTTTCTTTTGTGCTAGGATTAAGCTTGCAATAAAAGAGGCTGAAATTCAAAAGCTTCATGCAAACCTGACTGTAACTCAGTTGTCTCAAAATGCTGTTGCTAATGATAGCCAAGAAGGTGTCAAAATACATACTTTAGAAACAGAACCTGTAAAACTAGGTGGTAGTCAAGTAGGTGAGTATATTTACATTGAATTACTTTAATAAATGATAGTTTTTACTGATAGTATTTCAAAGGAAAAGATTATTGATAATATTTCAAAAGCACTTAGCCTTCTATTAATACCTATTATTTGAAAAGCAGCAAGAATTACTGTGTTGTTCTTAGACTTTTCATTGTTTAAAAAATATATTGCTGAAATAAAATTTTATCCAATAAGATGTACCTATTCCAGAGATGCAGTTGGGTGGCCAAGCACGGTAGCACACACCTTTTATCCCAGCACTCAGGAGGCAGAGGCAGGTGGATCTCTGTGAGTTTAATGCCAGCCTTGTGTATATAGTCTAAGAACAACCAGAGCTACATAGTACAACTCTGTCCTAAAAATATACGTATTTGTTTGCGTGTTTGTTTTTAAATATGTTTTTGCATTTATTTTCCGTCACCATAACCAAAACATAACTTTTCAGATATAAATATTTATCTATTTATTTATAAATATTATATGGATGAAGGACCTCAGGATTGTTTTTTTCCAAGACAGCGTTTTTCTTTGTGTAGTCCTGGCTGTCCTGGAATTTGCTTTGTAGACCAGATTAATGTCAAACTCACAGAGGTCTGCCTCCCAAGTGCTGGGATCAAAGGCATGCACCATCACATCCAGCTCACACATAAGGATAAACATTTCTTTAAGCAATACTTTGTATCCCACTAGTTTTTATGTTGTATTTTCATTTTATACAGTTTAAGCATTAAATTGATTACTTCTTTAATGATTGAATCTTAGTCTATGTGTTTCTGTCTGATTTTTTCTTTAATATTCAAAGATCTATCTTTATATTATTATGAGTAGTCAGAGCATATATTTCATATATTTTTACTGTTTACTTTATTAGTAGTTATTCAGCCCAAGGTTTCATGCTTGGTAAGAATGTGACTTACCATTGAGCTATATCCCCAACTATATATATATATATATATTTTTTATTTTTGTTGTTGTTGTTCACCTTTTTTTTGAGACAAGGTTTCATATGTAGACCTTGATGGCCTGGAACTTGCTTTGTAGATGAGTCTGGCCTTGAACTTTTTGAAATCTGCATCTCATTCTGTGGAAGTATGTGCATATTAGTGCAGTTGACTGTAGAAGCCAGCAGAGTGTATCGTATTGAGCTGAATTACAGGCAGTTATGAGCTGCCTGGAAAGTGCTGGAAATTGAATGTAGGTCTTCTGTAAGACCTCTTACCTACTGGCTCATCTATCCAGTCCCTTTCCCTATCTTTTAAAATATTATTCATTACTAGGTTGATGGTTTTAGTTTTAAGTTTTCTTCATACCTGATGATTTTCAATATATTCATTGTATCAGTTATTGAGAATAATATTAAAATATTCAAATGCATGTGATTGTGTTGTAGGGTCCTTTTAACCCAATATAACTTAAATACCAGATCAATGCAGGTGACAAGCTCCTACTGATAGATCAGGGCTGCAGAACAGACTTGGGAACTGATCTTGACACTGAAGGGATGTTGTACAGCATACTTAAAGGATGAAACTATAAAGTGAGGGACAGCAGGGTGGGCTGTAGCATTGTCCGATCATATTTTAACATAAGGGGTTAACCCAGGGAGTTTCAATCAATCAGGATAGGAGTAGGTTCCTGGGCTTGGGAACATGAACTTAGTGTTGGTATAATGTTCTTGTGGAATATATACAATTTACCTTTGTTCATTCACATGCTGATTTCTCTCCCCACTATCTGGTTTCAATCTGGACATTTTATTGTGAGGCTTATTCTAAGCATCAGCTGTCTCAAGTTTGTGTAAACATGCCACCATTTGTTCTCTGTATTGCCAAAAAACACAACCAGCCAGTGCTGAGCAATGGATAGGATAGAGTGGGACATCCTGGTCCAGAGGGGAGGGGAAAGAAGCAAGTGGGAGGGGGTCGGAGAGAGAGATCAGAGAGGAGAGGACTTGGAACCACCAGGAGAGATGAACTAGACAGAAGATGTGACTAAAAGCAAGTATAATGTGGAAAATCTGAATGGGAGGAAACTATGCAGGCTTGGAGGTTTAGGATGGAGTAACTATTTCCCAGCATTGCGCTCTAGGTTAAGTAAATACCAGTCTCTGTGATTTGGTGATTTGGGTATATACAGCTGGTTTAGGAATACCAATGCTTAACTAAAAGATAAATCAATAATAAATATTAGTAACTAACAACAACTTACTTTGAGCCTTCCAGCAAGCTGGAGACGTGAAATGTTGGACTCAGACAAATGTCTCCTTATAAGTTGTCCCTGTGATGTCCAGGCTCAGACACTGTTTACTTCAGCCAAAGCTGTTCAGCTGTTGGGATCCCAGATCCCATAGGGCCTGGAATCTTGAGTTTAGTTTTTCCCTGTGATTAAATGGAGTCTGAAAACGAAATGGTAGGACTTAGAATAAGTTTCTTTTGCTTGTTTCCAACAATTGTTTTGTGTGTTCTTGTAGCTCTCCCAGTCTTGTATTCTAGAGATGTTATTCACTTACACATAATGTCATGTCTAATTGAATAGACCCTCATATTAAATGTCTCTTTTAACTCCGTGGTAATATTTATTTTGTTTTAATTCAGGGTAGTCCTTTTAGGTTTTTATTATTAGAGTTTGACTGATAGAATTATTTCCTATTCTTTTGAACTTCCACATTAATAGCTAAGGAGATAGTTTTTCTTCTTCTTCTTCTTCTTCTTCTTCTTCTTCTTCTTCTTCTTCTT